TAATATTTTTTATTTAAAGATATCAATTTTTAACTTTTTTCATATAAGGATGTTAACTTTTTCAAAAAGTCCGTTTATCACATCAACATTTCCATCCAATTAATCTTTCAATAAAAAAAGTTGAAAATTAATATTTTTAAATAAAAAATATTGAAAGTTAGTATTCTTAAATAGAAAAAATAAAAAGTTGGCATCCTTATTTACAAATTGACAAAACTAACATCCTTAAATAGAAAAAAAATACAAAGTTAGTATCCTTGCACTTTTTCTAAGTTAATGGATATTAATTTGGCTAAACTCTTGTTGGTACAAATTTGATATATCATTAAATAAATAGATGTATATATTAGAGTATAATAACATAATTGGAAGCTCATTCAGCACCACATTCTTACAAAGGTGAATTTAGCTAAAAGATTAATTTTAAGGGATGCTAATCCATTTTCGGATGTTTCTGCATGTGATGTGGAATTAATTTGAAAGCTCAAACCACATGATGTTGGAATGTTTATTTGCTCATTGACCGGGTTGTTTAAATTCCTTATAAATGGATTGAAGTTGCGTTACTAAGAGCATATACAATAGTGTTTTCTTCGATTTTTGTTTTTTAAAGAAAACAAGAATAGAACTTTACTTCACTAGCTAGAGTGAATTCTAAATTCGAGTTTGTCTGTCTGTGGAGAACAAGTCCAGTTTATTTTTTTGCCCTTAAAGAGGCAAAAAAAAAACATCGTTTTTGGGGAAAAAAATTTACAACGCCCAACATGCTTTTGATCCCAAGCATTAAGGAAGCCACTAATTTTTTTTTAATTTCAATTCTTTTTTTTTGAATATATAAAATGTGTATTGAATAAAATAATATAATTGGTATAAATTTTAAAAAAATTCAAAGCATCTAAGAAGAAAAGTTTTTATAGATGATCTATTTACCCAAACAGTACAGTAGTAACCTTCTTCCATTGAAGGTAAAAAATTTTAAGTTCAAATTGTATATAGTATGTGTATAGGGTGAGTTGAAGAATTGAAAAAGATTGTCTCCTATTATGTAATCAAAAATAAAAAATATATATTAATTTACATAAAATAATATAAACTGTGATTATATAACACTAAAGTGAGTTTTTTTATTATTCTCTGTTGTACGTGTTCTCTATTGTACATGCCCAAATCAATTGTTAGCTACAAGAAGTTCAGGTTTCACATGGATTCTACTACTATTTTCACATGTATGTAGAACTCCCTTTTTCGCAAAATTCCTCTCTTTTAAAGAAAATAAATAAATAAGCACTGATATTTAAAAAAAAAAAAAACTAAATTTATGGTTTACTGTAGTCAATTTGGACTGGTTGGGGATTTAGAAAATGATATTTGCTTCAAATCAAAAGTTGGTAGTGACTGGTGAGGATGTGATCCTGCTATTTTGTACTGACTAGTGAGGATGTGATCCTGCGTTTTTGTCAATGGTTGAAGTTTGGTACGTCCTCTGATTGTTCTGTTTCTGGAGTTCTAGAAAGGTTAGGTGCACGGAGTTAGGGTTTCACATATATTGTTTATAGGGCAATTATTCAAATTCTAAGGTATTGTTCTTCTGTTATTTGTTGTGTTATAGTGCTAACAGAGTGTAATTTAACCCCCCAAAAAAAGAAAAGAAAAGAAAAAACGAAAAAAGCATAGATATATAAATAATTAGAGTGAATTTTTTAATAAAAAAAGTCGATATATTATTGCTGCATTATAATTTTAAATTTATAAATTAAATTTTAATTTGTGACTCTGTAATTACATTATTTTTATATTATTTATTTAATAGGGAGGTTGACTCTTAGATATAAATCACAACAAACCCTAATTTTTTTTAAAAAGAATATTTTTAAACAAAAAAGAAGAGTAAATCCCTGGAACTAGTACAATCTATGTGAAACCCCAATTCGGTGTACCTAACTTGGCCTTCGCAATCAGGAGCATATATAGCAACTTGAATCCATTGATAACTAATTCAAACAACCCGATGTTAATATATATTATTCCAATTCGAAAAGGAAAATAGTAGCGGACCACACATCTGCCAGCAAGCACAATTACCAGTTCCGATTATTTTTCCTCAATAAAACATATTTAATGCACTTCATCCCAATGTCCATGAGCAATTAATAAATATTACAAGAGCTTTCAATTTCAACATCATAGAAACAGCCAAAAAGAGCATTGTCATCCCCTTAAATTAGTAGTCTTTTACCTAAATTCGCCTTTGTAAGAATGCGGTCTTGGATGAGATTATAATTAAACGCATATGCCTTGGAAGAATGAAGTAATTGTCCGAAGTGAAATAATATTTTGAGCCAAGTATAAATATTGGGGGTTGGGGCTATCATAAATGGATCCCAACCCTTATGGTTGGGTCATGGTTGAAGCCACGGTTATAACAACATAATTTTAAACATACTGGTTTTGTTTATCTCATCTATTAAGATCAATAAATAAAATTAATAACTATATTTAATAGCTCATAACTAAATATGTATTGATTTAACCAATTAAAATTAATTTATAAAATGATATTTTCAAATAAAATAACTAACTATTTAAAAAAAATTAATTTTATGTAATATACCATTTTTGTCTATGACAATAACCATGTCAACTGTTGAACTCTAATCTATAGGGACTACAAGTCGGACTATAGTTAAAAGAAAATTATTTATACATTATTTAGTTTGACGCACCTTTTAATATCTGTCTGATTTAATCATTAAAATATTACATAAATACAATTGAGTCAATAGATTCTTGTTCATGTTGTATGCATAATTGCATTTTTAAATTTATTTGTCTTTAATTTTAAAATAAAAAATAATAATATTTAATAAGTGTGATATATGCATATATTGAATCAAAGTATATATGTGCTAATCTATAAGTAAATTGATGCCAATTGGTAGAGAAGTAAGCGGTCCGTGTTCTCAGTCTCCTTAATTAGACGTGCATAAAGGCGAGGTCTTCTATAGTTCTCTATATTTACCTGCACTAGAATTGGTTTGTCTGCTCTGTTATTGGCTATGTTTTGCTGGTGGTGTTGCAATTGCATTGTTGGCCGGGTTAAGGGAGTATCAAGTAAGGTACTGCATTCCATCATCACCGACAGTGTTACTGCTCAGTGTTATAAAGATCAATGAAGAAAATATAATTAAACATCACTTGCGGTCAATATAGCTAGATACGTCTGATTAGTTGGCATGAAGATTTGGTCCTTGCCTC